ATAGACTTATAGTGATGACGTCATATTAACTTTTGCAAATGGATTTTACAACGATAAAAAATGAATTACTGGATATTTCAAGCCGTTAGATGAGCCCCCCTGGCTCCTATGTCTCTGTCCTCTGATATAAACACGGTGAAAAGCAAGAGCTTCTCTGGTGTTTTTCAACTCCCACCGGGTTAATATCAGAGCGCAGCGCGCCGTTTTATATTTCTTAAAATTMACGAAAATTTTCAATACATTGGTAAACTGGTTCTGAACAAGACGAAGCTACGGGAAAACAATATCTATTAAGTACCATATGTATGAKCTCATGAGGCAGCCATCTTATCAACAGGTTTTGCTGGATTTCTTCAGATGAAAAATCCTTCTTGTAAAGAAGGCCATCTTCTTCAAAACGAATAGAGCCCCAATTCTCCATGGCAATGAAGCACTCAGGAGGGGCAACAAAGTCTGGAAAAACAATGCGATGATGTTAACAATATCAATGATGATACATTATTGGAATATAGGACATTCTGGGATGATATGTACATGTAGCCATATYGACTGGGTGTTTTCGGAATGATTACCTAACCAGTTAATGCCCGCTCAAAGTTTTCTTAGTTTGACTTACCCAACTTTTTCATAGGGTACTTGATACCAAAAATATTTTCCATCTGTGTGAATGTTTCGTTACCCATTCTCAGTGAAAAGTCCATTTGGTCAGTATTACCAGGTTGGGCAAACGCTCTGAGCTGAGAGATAAAGAAATGGATTCAACATTGTTAAAGAATATTAATTTACGTAAGAACAATTGGGACAATGCATTGAAAATATACAGACAATGAATTGGCATTGATATTATCTATCCTTAGGTGTAACATGTTTAGCCGTATCTCCATGAAGTTCTAAAGCTGATACTAGGTAGTTCTCCAAGGTACTTTTGACTATTATATAGAAACCGATAGAATAGCCGATTTGCAAATTTTGCCTCAGTAGTCGAACACAAAAGAATCAATACGAGGCGTAGTGCATAAAGCTAAATCAATCGTTAAAAACTATTGTCTACTGCACGRCTCCTCTTTTGATTACCTTGTGTGCGACTACTGAGACAAAATTCACAAGTTGACTATTGCATGACTTAAGGAATAAAAGACGAAATTCCGTGTTTGATACTCTGATCAAAACACGCGGGATGTAGGGAGAGCACGAGAGAAGCGTAGGAAACCACGACGCGTAGCGGAGTGGTTTCCAGCTTTTCGAGTGCTCTCCCTACATCCCAAGTGTTTTGATCAGAGTATCAAACACGGAATTTCGTCTTTTATTTCTTTTCTAAAATTAAAAGATTACGAAAATTGTAAAGAATTCTGACTTTTGATACGATATAAAACGATGAATTCTCCTTACATTGCATTTGTCTGCAGCTTCTGTAGCTTCTAGACCTTCTAAAAAACGTTTGATAGCTCTTCTTCTGGGATATCATCCCAGAGGACATCATAAATAGGCATTTATTCGTTCATTGTACTTGAAAATGAATGATAACAACAACAAATGCAAACGGCGGGAAAAAAGAAATTTTTGACGCGCGCGAGCGTGTTTTGATACTGTAATCAAACATGGTTTTCGACCAATCACAGCGCGCGTAGTATCCTAAATATTTTAGAATGAATAGTCACAATCGTATTATATGTAAAATTCGTTGCATTTGATATAAATTAGAGAAACACATGATTGCTCAGCCTGCAAAGCTAACTAATACAGGGGGACTCTCAATCATATTATGAGAACCATCAGATCATTACACCTTCACGAAATGGATAGAAAGAGGGAGAGAGAATGAGAGTAAAGAAGATGAGAAGTAGGAGGAAAAAGAAAGTCTTGAACATGAGAGGTTTAAAGGAAAGAAGGAATGAAGAGAGAAAAAAAAAAGATTAAATAAAGCAAAACATTTAAGGAAAAATATACACTAACCATAACACCACTTGGAGTCTTTAGCTCTTTACTTTTGAAGTCACCAATCACAACTGACACCAAGTAAGTTGACATAATTGGTGTCTTTTTGTAGTAAGTWGTTTTTGTATCATCTTTGACTTCTTCTTTGTCTATCTCATTGTTAGATAATCCTATCATACCCTTGGGATATGCTAAACTGATTGTAAATGTGGCTTTAAAGGCAGGTTCATCAAAGCATGGAAATATGGTCCTTGCATCAAGGGGTTGAAGTTGAGTTGAAAGAAAAACCCTGAAAGGGTTAAATATGATTATTAATGTATACTACTGAAAAAACAACAGTTTTGAAACATTTGATTATATATTCTATTCATTAGACAGASCTTCTGTCAAAATGACTGCAACTCATTTGCATAATATCTTGACACACCAAGACAAAATGAACTCTGAAATACTTAAGAATAAATTGTACACCTCACTAATACAAGTTCTGATAAACATCCTTTGAGCATTTTGCTAATTTATTGTACACTTACGCAGTTTTTCCAGTATTTTGCCTGTATACACCTTTAAACAACCCAAAAAGGCCTTTTCTGTAAAAGCCATTGAACTCAAACTCAAGAATGTACTCCCCCTTGAGAGGCTCTTYAGTTTCCAAAACAAGAAAATTTGTCTTTTCAACATGAAATTGCTTTTTGATACCAACACCACTTGAGCCTAATGTGATACAGAAACATAATAAAGCTCACCATTAAAAAATGCAATCAAGCTGCCAATGGCAACACAACTTGAAGGTTGATTGTGTCTGACAAATATGTGACGATACGATGAATCAAATTATAATTACATAACCAAATAGAGTTTTAAGTAAAATTYTGACTGAGTGACTTAGTGAGTGACAGATTCGTAACCCTACAATAACTCTTTGATTGCTTAGCAACCTTCAAGTTTAAAAGGTTAAAAGGAAACACAAACAACTAATTTCCAAGGACATTAGAAAGTGGCAATCTTGACCTTGTGGCTCAATTAAATTATTATTATTTGAAATCATTTACTTTTAGATGATATTCCAAATATGTGTAACTTTATAAAACCTACATGTGGTTAATAGGCAATGTGCAGCAACACCACTTTGTGCAGCAAAGCATGATGGTAGTTGTAGTGCTCACACTTATCCTTTCTTTGTAAAAATTACAGGACAACATCTATTTTGGCTCAGAAAAAGACCTTTCAGAAGGACTGGATTTGGGACATCAAAAAGAATGGAAACTACAACTACCATCATGCTTTGCTGCACAAAATGGTATCACTGCACATTGTCTATTGACAACTAACTACAACAGGCATATTATCCCTTTGAACCTTTTTGCCAACTTCTAGAAATTAAGAACAAGCATAATTACAATTGTTACAATAAAAAGAAGCCTTGCCTTTCTTGGAAACACTAGCCTTGGTAACATTTATAAGATGAGAATGGATAATTATATGAGATGTTGTATTTACAACAGCAACAGCAATCTTGTCTTTGCCACTGAATCCTTCCTTATTGGGATCCACGTTCAAATGGAGSTCATAATGTGATGGTATAATAGTCCTTGGTAGACGTATGTTATCCCATGGGCCTTGAGGTAATGTTGGTGGAATTGTTGGCTTATTAGTTCCTTCTTTATCTGTTTTTCCTTCTGATGAATTAAAACATAATATAAAAATTAGGTAACACCTAATAGCGGAGCTCCAATAGCAATATAGAAGCTGAAAATGATTATCTAGTACTGCTATTTCAAAGGTAGATGCTCTGTTCTAAGGAATGTGAGCTACAACAGTTTTGTTGACATGCGAGCAAATATTATAAAGAGTAGATTTATGAGAATTTAGTTCGTACTAATATTAACTTCGGTAGATTTTGTTCCGTTGGATGAAGTTTAATATTATAATCTATAAAGGTYAATTGATTAAAAGTAAACTGAAAGCTTCTCGGCAAAAAGTAGTCTACATAAGCTTACAATAATCAACATTGTTTCAATAATCGATGTTTGAACCCGGACTACTCGAACTTCACATATCACAGAAAACTGTATACAAAAATATATTTTTTACCTTCATTATCGAACTTCCGATAAATTATCGTTCAAAGGTCATCTTCAACAGAGCCATACTTGTTTCAAGCATAGGTCTCATTAATTTATTAAGTCATTCAAGACTGTAGATTCTTTGTTTTTAATCTCTCTCAATCTAACTGCTAACATGGTCTTGGTTTCGAAATGTCCACACTTTTTGTTGTCAAAAGAACTTCACATAGATCCCTGCTTTTTCCCATATTGGTCCATATTATTGAAGTATTTCCAATAAAGTATCATCTTGTTGTCGAAATATCAAAGTAAAATCCTTTTTTCTAATATCACTTTTAAGATGGGCCTAAATTGCTTTTCATCTTCGCAAATCGATTTCCCGGATGTGCGGACATGTCGAAGTTATGACAAAATTGGCGGGGATATTTCTGTGCTGTTATTTCGCTCTTCTGTGGATTTTTTCCTTGTGATTAATTGTTCTAATATTATTAATAAGTAATATAAATGTTTAAGGAAAAAATTTAGATTTTTCAACAAAAACTTGGTGCTTTGTTTCCTTTTCGAGCGGAGTATGGGTTTCCTGTGGTGGTACATGCACTCCAGGAATGAAGGACAGACGGACGGACGGACGGACAGAAGGAAACGTGCGTACGTGCGGGAACCCTGTGTCGGTCCATGGAAAATAGACTCGATGGTATACCATTTTTTCTTAGCTATGGTGCTCCGCTTTCAATAAATAATTTAAAAATAAAATAGCACTAAAGTCAGTTCAATAAATGGTCACCTATGTATGTTAGAGGTGTTCAGGTGACTCAAGTTTTGGTGAAAAGAACACATTCASATAAAAACCATTTACTGAACAAAATGTCATTTTCAAGAATGACTGAGATGGTTATCATTTTAGCTAAATTTCAAACATSTTTCATGAAATAAAGATATTTTTTAGAATAAGAAAATAAATATATCAGTGAATGAATAAGCTAACAAATACAAAAGAATGAAAAAAGGAAACATAAATCATACATGACCATAAAAATGCAAAAATTTACAAAAATTTATGAAAAAATATGAGAATTGAGTAAACAAAATTTGATTTAAATTTATTATGCATTAATTTATAAAACAAATTTTGTCAGGAGTTGAGAAACAGCCAAATTCCCATCTATTTGTACAGTGCATACTTGCTACATAAACCGGAAGTAGCTTAGGAATTATTGAATTTAACAAGAAGTAAGAAAATGTCTTTGGCTACAGTCAAGAAATGTTTCTTGAATTTAGTTGAATGGAAACTTAGATGTTTGCCATGTTAACTCTGGGGGGCCCTTAGTCCTCATTTCCATTCCTTTGTTTTCTATTGTTTCTAATTCACTATCCGGTTATGTCRTGACCATCTATCGAAACAACTGAATTTTTCAATAAATGAATAATAAAGTTTTTGTTCATGTGTACATGGTCACACAGGGAGCCCGCRGTAGTCACAAGACTTTGRCTTATCATATTTCGTTATAAAACCGGATATTTCAACAGTTTACAGTAAATTTATTCTTTTACTAAATAACTTCAAAACGTAATCTCAATCCTGATAAGAATATAGCTCCGATTAATGCTTATCTTTTGAATTTCATGATTCTATACTACGCCTAGTAAGCTTATATAAACAGCGTCTGCTCACACCCTACTAGCGTAGCTTGCTTCAGTTCAGACAAATGAAGCTTAGTTTGATCCCTAAACCAAAGTTTACGAGCAGATAGAAGACCACAAACGTCAAGAAATAAAAATAAATTCAATAATATGTGATAAGAAGCAAATATTTTGTAATAAGGAAGATTGTTCGCAAAGACTTTATGAAATGAAATTGACAGGTCAGCCACGCTGCTAATTCCGCCATTTCTAAACTAAAGCAACAGTCAGCTTACCTTTGATMGGTCGTTTTGCTTTCTCTTTACTAAGGAGAACAGCTAGAATAATAATTATTACAATGAGAACCACAATTCCGACAATAATTAAAAGAGCTTTAACTTTGCTCAAAACGATGCCAGCCGCTTCTGTTGAATTCGTTGAATTTGCCTTTTCTGCCACGGCTTCATCGTCTTTCTTTTTCAAAGGAACGCCTTCTTCAGGCGACTCTGCCATGGTAAACTAGCACACAGAATATAGAAATGAAATAATTTCTTTGAACTTTGGCAATGAAATGTTGATTTTGTTGTTCKCAGAATGAATTTAGCGGGCTCAAGAAAAACAAAGCTGCCAAAGCGATCATGCGTGAAATGTCACGCAAGATCGTTCGGTGACATGTAACAACCAAATGAGAGCTGCAAGCAAGTGCCTCCTGTGCCCGTTTTGGATAGGTACGTGCCGCCAGCAGTCTAAATCCCTGCTGACCCTGTTTAAGACACTAGAAAGTAAAAATCCATACCCTGTTCAAGACAAATCGGAAAAATAAGGAATAGCTATCTACGCCGCAACCATCAAAACTGCAATTGTACTGACATCCATCAAAGACAGTAAGAAGTTTTTGATAACACGTTAATTCTGGGACAGTGAAACGGTATTTCTACTATTTTTACGGTGTTATGAAAATATTACCCTGTCCAAGACACACAAAAAAATTATATCGGTCCCTTTTATCTAAATTGTAGAGCCTGTTTAAGACAATTTCGGGTGAAATGTATACGCTGTTTAAGACAGCAAGGCCAAAAACCATAACCTGGCCAGCGGCACGTCCCCGTATAGCAANAATCTCGAGCCCAGAATCTTCACGGCATCGACGGTTAACTGAAGTACCCAGCGTTTCTCGGCGAAGATTTTAACCAAGTGAAACCTGTCGTCCGTGAAACAGCAGAGACCACTAAAGGGCGCATCGTGTTCGAAGAACAGTCCATCACAAGCCAAGGGTTAATAGCTGCAAGCTCTAGGCTGTCCAAGAAGAATTTAACCATCCCGCGGTTAGAGCTTGTGTCCCCGCACATAGCAGCTAACCTGGTGGATAACATAATCAAAGCCTTGGAAGAGTACCCAGTCACCCAAGTCCAGGGATGGCTAGACAGCACTGTTGTACTCTATTGGATCAAGAGAGGATGACGATTCAAGCAGTTCGTAGCCAACAGACACAGGAAAAAATCGTTCACTTTAAAAGGTTGTAAATTTGATGTAAATATTATGTTAGTGTCCAAAATGATGTAAATTTGATGTAAATTTGATGCTTAAATTTGATGTAAATTTACATCAAATTTACATCATTTTGGACACTTACATAATATTTACAACAAATTTACAACCTTCTCAGGTGTATGGGTGAATGGGCCTGAGTGGCTGCCTAACAGTAAAGATCGGCCAGACCATATTGTACCTAAAGCTACCAAGGAAACAGAAAAAGAGACAAAGAAGATTCGAGAGGTGTTTGTAGCCGCTGTAATCAAGTGTGAATTCAACGACATCATGGAGAAGTATCACTTCTGGAAAGCAGTTCGAATCACCGCATGGGTGAGTCGATTCATACACAACTGTCGTAACAAGAAGTCAAATCGAGTGAAAGGTCCATTAGTAATCACTGAAAATCCAGAAACAAGTCAAGTGGTGGATCAAAAGGGAACAACAAGCACACAGCAAGACGGAAAGGTTCCAAGAAGACAAATTGCACTTCAACCTTCAGAAGAATGTGGAAGGAATCCATGAGTGCAGAGGACGGATCCAGGGAGATTATCCTAGTTACCTACCTCCACGTTCCACGTTGTCCAAGAAGATCGTTGAAGATGCGCATTGGTGTACTCTTCATGGGGGAGTTGGTTTAACGACGGCCTTTGTCAGACAAACCTACTGGATTCCAAGACTAAGGTATTTAACGAAAGGAGTCGTGCACGATTGCTTTGGGTGCAACGCTTTCATGCGACAGCTTTCAGCAGTCCGCTTCCAGGCAAACTTCCCACAGACCGCACAGAAGGATCAAGCCCTTTCCAAGTAGTAGGTGTGGATTATGCAGGTGCCATCGCATACAAACGTCCAGACAAGCAAGAGGGTAAAGCATATATTTTGTTGTTCACCTGCAGTCTATCTAGAGCTGTACACATCGAGTTAATGCCTGACCTTACCACACAAGGTTTCATCACCGCATTAAAACATTTCATTGCCAGAAGAGGAAGACCAGAAAAGATCTACTCAGATAATGAAGCAACCTTCGTTGGAGCTGAAAAATGGCTACGAAGTATCATGAAGGACGAAGCCATTCAGGACTATCTCGCACACCAATTGTGTGGCAATTCAGTCTGAGAAGAGCCCCATGGTGGGATGGACAATTTGAAAGGTTGGTGGGTATCTTGAAGTTAGCACTTTACAAGTCCATTGGACGAGGATTTCTGAAATGGAATGAACTAGAAGAGCTCATGCTAGACATTAGTCCAGAACTGGACCCTCTTTTCTCAATTACTATAGGTAATATTCTATGTAAAAGTTAAAAATCCAAAGCGCGCGCTACAGAAAATTGAGAAAAGTGGGTCCAGAGAAATGTCAGCGCATGCGCTACATCAGCCAATGACGATCGATTAAGAGAACCGTTCTCAGCTACAGGGAGCCCAAACAATGACTTTGAATCTAATTTATATGGCCTTTATATTAGGATAATTTGAAATAAAAACAAAAAGCTAAAATATATAACAGATAAATCGCTTTCTAGAAAAATAAAACAATTTACAACTGAATACAAGGAACAAACAAACAAACAAAACCAAAAAAAATACGCTGAAAGATCATTCCCGCCAATTTCAGAGACGCGTTTGCACACCCAACAGCTCTTTTTCAGCGTTTTGAAGTCAACTCTGAGCACAAATATAGCCCAAAAGAAGGATGCATAATATGACCTTCGACAACAACGAAATTCTGATGGTCACTTGTGTAATGCAGGAAAAGATACGATGAAAACAATGATTTTCTGGACATTTTGTCGAGCAGGCCGAGCAGTGTGGATATTCTGAAGACCAACGATCTTCACTGGATAGAAGAATCAACAAAATGGACTCAAATCATAAGTACACTGGACTTTTGAAAATGTTTTTATTTTCTAATGACCAGAGAATTACAAATCAATAAGCTTACTGCCCTGTTGAAGACTCGAAAGCCAAAGGGATCTGAAGTTATTTTTGGATGTTTAAGCTTGTTTAACTTATCTATCGATCCCAAAACAAAAACAATTAAGACTTATCTCAGAACATTTGCAGCTGTTCCAGTTCAAGAAACAACCTCTGTAAGGTACAAATTAAACAAAAGCTGAATAGTTTGATCTTAGCACTAACGTTTAGCTCTTTCTCTGTTTGGCAATCCGGATTTATAGCACTAGCATATGAGAAAAGAATGCAAAAAAGTCAGCC